GATTCCACACTGGAGAGAAACCGTATCACTGCACTGCATGTGGGAAGTGTTTCAGTCAATCATCTGCTCTACACAGACATACAAAAAACATTCACAGTAAGTATTCAAGATTCAGCTGAGATTCTGATCAAATCAAAGATGGAGTTCCTCCCCAAATAACTGTCAAAACATTTTATTATTGTGCTTTCTTATTTTTGTTCACTGTTGTTTTTAAAATGACTAATTATTCTTCCACTTAAGATGTATTTAGAAAATGCAGATGCAAGATATACTGTCATGTAGCGTTGCAACTGATCCTTATTTGCTTCTCTTGTAAGAAGGGATGGGTAACAGAACATGGTATTTAATGGGCCATTTTTTTCATGAAAAAAAAAGAATAATGTATTGTTTGTCTTGTATAGTAATAACATACTTTTTTTCTGTATTACAGATGTTTAACTCTTTCCTCGCCAGCATTTTTTGAAAAAAGTTGCCAGCCACCGCCAGCGATTTTGATGATTTTCACTAAAATTTGATGGCCTCCAGTATATTTTGCTGTATGAATATTTGAATATGCAATACACCAAAATAAAGATCAGAGCCTCTACTTTTAAACAAAAGAATCCATGTTATTCTAGTTTAAAGCATTCTTTTTTTTTTATCAACACTTGATATAGTTGGGTTTCATAAAAATGCAAAATTTTTATCAAAAACTACATCTGGATAATATTCAGTACGATTATCAAAGCATAAATCCAGTAAATCGCTTCCATCAACACTTCCAAAGCCTGCTCAGACATATACCACTTCCCGGATCAACATTTTACTCTGTAACATTATGCAGTTTTCATTTATATGCTGTCTATTGCTGATTATGGCATTATTTTCATATGCATCTGTTTACATAAGAGAGCGCTCGTTTCTCCGTCCTGTTCACGTGTGTTTTTGTTCGGGAGGTTTTGTACTCGTTCAGAAGATGCGTAATTGCACCCCCGACTGTATAACAGTTAAAGGGGTCATATGATGCAATTTAAATTTTTCCTTTCTCTTTGGAGTGTTACAAGCTCTTGGTGCATAAAGAAGATCTGTAAAGTTGCAAAGACTAAAGTCTCAAATCCAAAGAGATATTCTTTATAAAAGTTAAGAGTTAACCACGCCTACCTAAAACAGCTCGTTCTAACACACCCCCACATATCTACCTCACTATGTGGGAAGATTTGCATAACGCCGCCCAAATGTTCACGCAAAGAAAGAAGGCGTAACTTTTATTCTCACTGTAGTATTGTTGCCGACAGGGTTGGCAGGGTTTTATGTTAACGTGGCGCGATGCAACGCGTAAAAAGACAGTATAAGTCATTATAATCAGTAATTATGTCCCCGCTGGATGCAACAAATGCCTCGTTTGTAATGGGTTTTAATGTTTTTGTCTCGTTGCTCCGGCTGAGACACGGCATCAATAGTATGGTGAGAGGCGTAACATTTCCGTCACATGCTATTCGGCCAATCACAACGCACTGGATAGCTGGCCAATCACAGCACACCTCGCTTTTCAGACCGATGAGCTTTGTAAAAATCGACGCGATTCAGAAAGGCGGGGCATAGAGGAGAAACAATAATGTACAGTATGTGGAAAATAATGTGTTTTTTTTTTTCCTTTGAACTGCATAAACACATTTCATTACACCAAATACACAAAATAATGTTCTTTATAGCAGCATCATATGACCCCTTTAAAACACGGAAAGCCATAAAAATTCTAATTTCACTATACTTGTATAGTGACAATAAAGAATATTGAATCTTGAATACCATTAAAGAACCGGACTGATGTGCAGTATCGTAAGAATAGTAATACCGTTAACATTAACAATACCCATCCCTACTTGTCAAGTCAAGTCAAGTCAAGTCTGCTTTATTGTCAATTCTTAGCCTGATGGATGAAGCTGTCCTTCAGTCTGCTGGTCCTGGCCTGGAGACTCCGCAGTCTCCTCCCTGATGGCAGCAGACTGAAGAAGCTGTGTGTCGGGTGGGTGGGATCACCTGCAATGCAGAGGGCTTTGCGGGTGAGACGGGTGTTGTAAATGTCCTGGAGGGAGGGGAGAGAGGCACCAACGATCTTCTCAGCTGCTCTCACTATGCGCTGAAGTGTCTTGCGGCAGGATGCGTTGCAGGCACCATACCACACAGTGATGCAGCTCGACAGAATGCTCTCGATGGTGCCTCTGTAGAAGGTGTACATGATGGGGGCCGGGGCTCTGGCTCTTCTTAGTTTGCGGAGGAAGTAGAGACGCTGCTGTGCTTTCTTGGCCAGTGCTGTGGTGTTGTCAGTCCAGGAGAGATCCTCTGTGATGTGCACACCCAGGAACTTGGTGCTGCTCACCCTCTCCACAGTCACACCATTGACGGACAGAGGAGCATGCTGAGTGCGCACTTTCCTGAAGTCAACAACAATCTCCTTCGTCTTCTCCACATTCAGAGAGAGATTGTAAGTGACTTGTAAGTCAGTACTGACTTGTAAGTCAGTAGGAGAGAGGTACTGACTTGTAAGTCAGTAGGAGAGAGGTCTATCTCATTAGTTTTCACTCTTACTTTCAGTAATTATTGATCACTTTTGCTTTGAGTAAGTGAATGTTCGCAAAGACCCACCCTCCTTAGTTACTGTTGCTATGTCCGACAAACAATGCCGCTCTCACACTATACATCATGTTCTCACGCAGTGAAAAATACACCGCAGAGTTGTATTTTTCATACCAGTTACTTCTGGTATGAAACAAGGTCTCAGGACTCTCAGCTTTCAAATTTTGTCATTTTTAAAGAAATTCAAATAATACCGTTTTGTGGCTCTTTAATGTGTAGTGACAGATCACTGTAGCTCCTCAGTTCAGTTCCCGATCAGGGCGAAGTTCATGGGATTTTGTCCACAGATGATAAGAGCACACATTATTTGAACATATTATTTTATTATTTCACACTATTATTTTAACTTAAGCGCTGCAAGCCATGCATACAAGTACTTTAAAGGAATTCCTTTAGCTTATTGCCGTTACTGTGGCAGCCAACAACAGCACAGCTTAAAGGCCTTTCCACACTGAGCGCGAAAACACGGGCCGTCCAATAAAATTTGAGCTAGGATCATGTGACCGAAGCAGTTGCTGTTGCACAAAAGGGTGAGAGTGGTGGCGTGGTTTCGAAAACCATTGTAAACAAACAGAAGAAGAGTTCTTGTTATCGTTGAGAACAGAATTATTCTCACTTGTTCTTTATACAGAATAACATTTCTATTAATTATCCACTGAATCGTGATCTGTAGAGCACCGTCTGTTTTCTTCCACGTGATGATCTATTAAAAAAAATGAGTGAAACATTTTTCTACACATGAAATATGAAAACAAATAGACATGACTATATATTTTCTGTATGTGTTCTGTATGCAGCTCATGGTATTTTTATAGCAATAAAGGATGTTTATGACAAATATTATAGTGGCTAAGCAAATACATTAATATTTACATACATTTTCAAGTGTAGCTTGATGCTAATTGTACTAATTATATTTTAGGATGTAGCCAATTCTTGTAAGCATTATAGATATAATTGAATTGAATTGAATTGAATTGAAT